GACTGCTTTTGTTGTTTGACTTTGCTGTTGAAATTGGAGCAACATTCATCATCACCGATGAATCCCTCATAGGACGAATTAGATTTCCAACTAACAAAACTACATGCAAGATGAGTAAAAAGTGAATTGTTTATTTCAGAATGGGAAGTCGAGTTCGTATACGCAACGCTTATCCACGATCGTGATTTTGTACATTGAAATTGAAGAGAAACAGAAATAATAAGAGCAAGGACGAGTGCAGTTCCTGACAACATATAATAAAAGCTTTTTTAGAGCTCCTTGGTTAACAATAAAACGTTTGTTCTACATGTAGGCTATATTTATCTTCTACTTTTCGGTATCTTGTGCATTCACACAGATATAGTATTTGATTGAAAAATTTTAGACTCTGCGGCCAATAACATACTTCTTTCATTCAATATTATAAGATCTTTTTAACTGAGTTATACACCTAATAAATTAGTTAATTGACTTTGAAATACATGCTACTTTTATGTTTACCCTTATTTAATAAGGTGTATGAATTAAAAAATCTTATCAGTTATACCCTTAATTAATGGTATTTTTTTTTAAAAAAAAGAACTTCAGTCATTGTATGAAAGACTCAAAATTAGTCTTTTTCTTATAAACACCCACCAACTAATAAGTCTTATTCTTTCCTTTTTTTTTAAAAAAATTATACTGTAGTTTTTCGCTCATCCACTTATGTTATTTTAGGATTTGTCTTTTTTATTTTTTGTTTTTGTTTTCTTTTCCTTTATCCAATGTTTGGATGTAGCCGGAAAGCCTGGTACTGTAACTTAGGAATGTTTGATTATTTTTAAGGTGCAACTGTTACAACAAATCATTGTTTTAATTTCTACGATTTAAGGTTTTGTCTTCACAGATACATACTAGCTGATAGGCTAAGGACTTTTATTTCATCGACAATATATGTATTACGAGGTGAAACTGTGCAGGCAGAGAAACAAGGAAAAGTAGTGCAACATGCTCCCAACAATTTTTTCTCTACGAGCTTAGCACTCAACATTTTTAAGTAAACAAAGATGCATGAATGCCTATGAACTTATTTTAATGAGTTCAAAGATTCTCATTCCGTTGAATTTGACTGATGTCATTTAACGTTGATCATTAAAAAAAAAAAAAGCAAACATAAGGTGTCAAAGTAATTATAATTTTTTTTCCATGAGCTTCTAGTGTCCTAAGTCCACAATGGTGCATGGGTATCTACTAACTTAATAAAAGATGCTACATAACCAAGCCTGATCCTAATACCTCAAGTTTTTGGGCTTGTTCGGGATGGCCAAATACTACCCAAATAGTTAAATATTATTTTATTTTATTTTATTTATCCTTTTCAGTCAATTTTCAATTTTTATCTTAAAAGAATTTATGTTTATCTAATTTTAATTTCATTTTATTAAAAATATAAAGAATTTGGGTATTTCAAGTTTGAGTTTGGCCCAGATTTCTTCTGGCTTATTCAGGCGGCCCAAGTAAGCTTAAAATAAAGAACATTTCATAAATTTTCAAGCCTAACCCTAATATTTGTCATCTTGAACCGTCAAACTAGACCCAAATTATCAACTCCAATATTTTTTAATCTATTAAAATAACTTGACGTCAACCATAAAATTTTAAGAAAAGAACTTAACGGATTAAGAAAGGTTAACATATTTTACAAAATTAATGGATATCCATGCACCATTGTTGACTTTAGGATATTAGAAGCTTTGGAAAAAGTTTCTGAGTTTCATTGCACCCTATGTTTGCTTTCTTTCCTTTTTTTTTTTAACATTGAAAATGGATGTTAGTAAATTTAACAGAATGTGGATTTTTGCACTCATTAAAATAATTTTATGGGTATTCATGTAACTTTGTTCATTTAAGGGTACTAGGTGCTTCTAAAGGAGAAAATTGCTGAGTATTTTCATCCTTTAACCCAAGTTATACATACATACATACATACATATATATATATATACTCTCATATAAACACTACATAATTTTACTTGCTTAACTTGAACAATCATGATTTATCAATTGCTAAGTCTCTTTTGTTCCTAATGGGAACAAACTTGACTTGTAACTATATAAATAGCTAGCCATATAACAATGCATGAATAGGTTTATATTATTTCTGGATGCATAAAAACAAATGTTTGGGGAAAGCATCCCTATTGGCCTTCAAATTTGCAGCATTTCACTTGTATCAACATTGCAAGTATATCTTTGCACACTAAAGATTTCACTCTGAGGCAATTTAGATTCCCAAATTAAATTTCCAAATGAAAATGCAGCTCTTTTAACTAAAAGAAGGAATGGGGATCAAAATAGTACTTAAAATAGAAAACACTTGATGAATCTAAAACCCAATACTCTCCTATCAAATGATAAAGAATAAAAAGTAGGCCACAGAATTAGCAAAAGAACCTCCAATTCATGAATACCTTTGCAGTGGATTTTGTAACCCTAATTTTGATTATTGGTTAACTTTATCAATAACACCAAATGAAAGGAGGCATGTCAAAATACTTCATTACTCTTGAGTCTAGCCATCATTTCTTGCAGGTTCACACACAATCATGCTTTGTCACCAACAGAGGAAGCTTTTATGAGTTCACGGTCTATTTCTTGCGTTCATTTGATTCATCTCCTAGGCATGTTGCCTATGCTCTTGGAATGGACTAAAACGGACGCATGAGAGTTATAGAAATAAAGCAGAAATGTAGTTTCGCTTACACTTCATTAAGCTAGAAAAACATTTAGCACTTATGTTTGTAACGTTTTATCTACTTGCCTGTTTCATTCAAAATCCTAGCACTATAAATAGGACTAGCTTTGCTGTAAGAGTGAGTTCAAACTGGAAATAAAAATCAGAGTTTTCTCTTTCATTTGGTTTCTGTGCTAGCTCCTCTACTTCCTGTGCTTTGAACAATGCATTAGGGCTTAGTTTGAGTGCTAGAGGTAGAAAAGTATTTTCGCATGAATAACAAATTACACTCAAGTCTCAAAGGCCTTGGTTATAATTTCTAAATTTCACGAGACTTAATTTTAAATAAATTACTTTGATGAGACCTATACGTAATTTTTCCCAAATCTTTTGAAGATTTTCCATTGCCCAAATTATGATAAACTCTCATGTGTCTTGTTTCTCTCTCTCTCGCTCAAGCATTGTTGTTAAAAGAGTTGACCGTAATACATTGTCGATGTAACAAGTCAAAACCAAGGTCGCGGCTGGGTTATGTTTGCATATGTGAAGACAAAACCTTCGTAGATAACACCGAATTCGTACACAAAGTTATTAAAAATAATTTGATACATGTTAAGTTGTTAAATATATAGTGTGGCTTAATTATGCTTTGCTCAACAGCCTAGCTTTTTTTTTTTGGCCAAAACCAAAAGCAAAAAAGATTAATTTATTAAATTCTTGAGTGGTAGGGATTACTTTTTCTTAAGTAAGTTATTGAAGATTTCGTTTCCAACACTTACATATGAAGCAGCCCTTCTTTCAGATTTACCGATTGTGTATAACGAAGGCCAAAGCCAAATATATATATATATATATATATTAATATGGTTTTATGACTTTATTAACTTGATGAAACGATTTCCTATTTCTATACATCGGTTTCTTTATCTTTAGTATGTCTTGATTTTTACTTTGTTATTCTTGGATACATTTTACTTTATTTTATGTTGATCTTCTTTGTCCCTCTATTCTCTATGCAAATATGCATTTCTTCTCCTTCTCCTTCTCATTTCATTGATTGTTTATGTCTTGTTCGTCTTTATATGATTCTTTATTCATTCTAGTCTTTATTTCTTATATAATACAATTCTTAAAACTTTATATATGTGGAACAATAAGAAACATAAATTGAGAAAAAAATTAAAACAGTTGTAATGATAACATTTATATATAGTATAATTATTGTAACATTATGAAAAGACGCGCACATAATTTAAATATCGATTATACTTAAATATAATTCTCTTGTAATTTCAAATTCCTTTTATACACTGCAAATTTCACATTTCAATTCACTTTCAATCACCCTCCACCATCACCCAGTGTCAGTCAGCTACCACCACCATCATCCAATGTTGTTACCCTACCATCATCCAATGTTAGTCCACTTGCCATGCTATGCCACCCTGGCACCTCCAACTGGTGTTGATCCTTCATTGCAAAAGCTACCATCCAATACTAGTTTGTAATTTGTCTACCTTTGTTGTCTAATGCCAAACACTGCTACCACCATTGCCCATAATCTGGCTACCACTGTTGAATAGGACCAAGCTATCGATGCTGAACATGACAAGACCTCCACTAATGGGAGTAACCATCAATGATGACTAAGACCCACCCTGTTTGTCATCTAGGACCAAAATGCATGCATGAATCGAGACTAGACTGTTGTTGCCAATTGGGATGGGGCCTTTGATGTTGTCTGAGTTTGGACTGCTAGCATTGATCGATACTAGGCCACCACCCCTGATCAGGATCGAATTGCCAACTTTGGCTAGGATCAAACTATCAACATTATCTAAATTATCTTTAAATTTAAATATAGAATTTAAAATTTAAAATGTTACTTAAGATTTGAAATGTTTTAATAGTATAGATTTTAATAGTATAATTTGAAATGTTTTATATCATCCAAACAACAAATTGATAATCTACAAATTTTACATGTGAGATTTTAAATATAAAATTTTAAGTCCAAATTCTCCAACCAAATCCACCTATCCAAACACAACCTTAAGTTATAATAAGATTTTGATTTAGTATTAACTTTTTTTTTTTTATGAACTTAGTTGTTGTCATCCCTTTTTTAATGCGCCGGACTCTATTAAATATTGTGCAGACGTATGAAAAGACCAAAAAGTGGGAGATAAAATAGAGCCTCATATCTAGCCTGCAGAATAAAAGAACATCATACGCCGGCTTTATTATTTACCAGGAAAGTCTAGAAAAGCTTTGATCTTTGTATGTGATGTCAAGAGTCGCTCTTCTGATCCTTTGCCTTGTTTGTCTGCCTCTTATATTCGAATATGCAAAAGCACAATCATTATCATCATCATGGATACGTGTTGGTTACGAGAGCAATGACACTTCAGTGTGTGAAATCAACACCACACTTTTCACTCATCTCATATGCGGTTTTGGTTTCTGGAACCCTTCGTCCAATGAGGTATATATCGATGAGATTTATTCACAGTGCTTTAACTTCAGCAGCATAATCAAAGATCAAAACCCATCCATCAAAACATTTGTCTCTATTAAGGGATTTGGTGAAGACCTTCATTGGTGGGTCACGAATTCTTCTTTCAGGACATCTTTTGTTCACTCTTCCATGCAATTAGCCAGGCGTTATGGGTTTGACGGCCCTGACCTTTATTGGATATTTCCTAAAATATGATCAGACGTAGGAGTTACGTATGTACATATAACAACTATTTCTTTAAATTTATTTCTTTCTTAGCTTCTTCATTACACCCCGTGTATTATAACCATAGTATGAAATCTGGATAAATCTATACCTCGTGAAAATGACAAACTGTTAAATCAATGTTTTCACCAATTTAATGAAAGTTTTCTTTATGATCGGTTTAATTACAGCTCGACTATACAATCTTGACCATTAATCCTTGAACAAATATGCTTTGATTGATTTAATAACTGGTTCAAGTTTCAGTGCCTTGACTATAACACACATGCACGCAAACCCATTCACTAATTAAGGGCTTCCTCTGGTTTTTATTATCAATTTTTTATTTTATTCTTATTAAATATACATACTTTAATGATGACATACATACTCCTTCAATTTTCAAATATAAGAGAAAAATAACTAACTTATGTAGCTAAGTATAATAATTATGTCAGAAATTTAAAAAATTGAACTAAATTATTCCTTTAATTAATTAAACAAATCTATCCCGTAAAAATAAACATTGACTTTATGATGGGTAATTCAGGAAAATGTGATTTCTTGATGTAATTTGTACTTCTACCTGTAAAAAAACGATACATGTGTAACAGTTTCTTTTATGATAAAAAACAGAGGAAGTACTTTCCTTTACCTAACATTTAATGGAGGTAAAAAGGAAAGCTTGTGCTAAAATATTTTGGTTACTTTATTATTATTATTTATTTCTTTTCCATCCAATCATCCTTTCCAAGTACCAAACAGTCCATGACTCACACGAAAGATCAAGTCTGAGACCTCTCTGATTTATTTTCCTGAGTCCGTTACTACTGTGTTGAGCCAGATGACGCTTTTTGGAGGTTTCCAGAAACAGACTCAGACATGGAAGGCATGGCAAGTATATTTCAAGAGTGGAGAGATGCTGCAAGAGCTGAGGCTTCAGATTCTAACAGTACTTCAGATGAACTAATCTTAACTGCGGCAGTTCATTACTCTCCACATTCAGGGAACTCATCCCATCCTATTGAATCAATCCGTAAAAACTTGAATTGGATACATGTTGTTGCTTATGATTACACTACTCTTGACAGCTCAAATGTCACAAGTGCACACTCATCTTTATATAACCATTCAAGTAGGCTTAACACAGACTATGCTATCACTCAATGGATTGATATTGGGGTACCATCTACAATGTTAGTCATGGGATTGGCTTGTCATGGGTTTGCCTGGAATCTTAAAGATCCTCACAACAATGCAATTGGTTCACCATCAACAGGTCCAGCTAATATAAACTCAATTCCATTGGGGATGATGCCGTATAAAGACATCAAAACTGAAATTTTTGGGTTCTTCGGGGGCTCAACATCAGTAGGTTATAATGATACTTATGTAATAAATTACTACCCACACGACTTCATTTGGATAGCTTTTGACGATGTCGAGGCTATCAAACTAAGGTGTCTTATGCCAAGACAAAGAAGCTGCGTGGTTACTGTTTGTATGAAATTTCCTTTGATGACAATTGGAAGCTTTCCCAAACAGGTTCGTTCCCTAAATTCTACTCACTTCTCAATTCAAAATCCTGTGCTCATTAACATTCAAGGAATTTATTGTGATTTGCAATAAGTCCTAATTAAACTGTGTTTCTTTGGTTTGCCTCTGATATATCTCCAGCACTTGCCCAAGATGTTCAAAATTAACACATGTAAATCACTGTTTCTTGCTCTACGATTAATTCTTGTAAGACTAAATGCATGTTTGGTTGAGTATTTCGATTGCCAAACTTAGGTTACAAAGTAGAAGCCGGCATGTTGAATATATTTTAATTTAGGAAAAATTATGTATAGGTTTCATGGAGCATACTTATTTATAATTAAGTCTTGCAAAATTTAGAAATCATGGTCAAATCCCTTGGGACCCTAGTATAATTTGAAATTAGAGTGTAAAGATAATAGTGTCCTTACTTGTAATGCATGATCAGATTAACTATTAAATATATGAAGTTATAATAATAAATTATTGATGTAATATATTCTTAATAGGGACATTATTGTTTTTATACCCCAGTTTCACATTACACCTAGGTTTCAAGGGAGGTTGTTATATTTTCCAAATTTTGTGGGACTTACTTATAAATAAGTATACTCCATGAGACCTATACGTAATTTTTCCTTTAATCTATATCATAAAACTCATGTTTTTTTAGTCTTTATACATTTAAACATGCTTTCAATTATATTATCTAAACAAATTTTAGTTTGTCAAATTGTATTTTTTTCAAAAAAATATTATTCAAATATAAATTACATTACGATAACTAATTTTTACCCCATTTTTTTGGTAAACAATTATTACCCAATTTTAATTTATACAATAGTTTGTGTAAATTTGATTTTTCCAAATGCCAATTAGAACAAGTACTAAGTCATATGATTAATAACTAAATTTCTGTTATCAAAATGTACAATATAATTTATAATAGAAAAGGCTAATCTCTTATAATATAATAAACCAATGTTTGAATTATTATTGGAGAGGTATCCACCTTTAGTACGTAATTGTGCTTTAACTAAGATTGCCTTTAATAAAAAGATACATATAAAAAAACCAAAAAATATATACAATTTGAATCATGTGAGACGAGTGAGTAGGTGCTAAATTAGGTTTCCAGTAAAATTTGAAAATGATTTTAATTTCTTTATCCACCAAGAAATTGAAAATTTTGAGCCTGCACTAAAGTATCACTCAAAGACTTCATGGCTCTATGAATCACTCTAATGTATATTTTTAGACATATTTGCAGCTTACGGAAACGTAGACTTATTCAATAAAACGTTGCCTTTCGGAGGTAAATCTCAGAAAACGTTGCCGTTGCGAACTATCCTTTTGATTACAGCTGCTATATCTATCCTTCTATTTGGTGCCATAATCTACATTGTAAGGAGTACATTCAAATTTAAGGGTAATATTTTAATTGCGAATAATCTACATTTTCGATTATTCCACAGTACATTATGTTATCATGTAATTGTTCTTGTTTTTAAAAATGACTACCGGGAGGACAGAAGCTACAACAGATTCTGCAGAAGATTTCCCCTACAACACTGCTGGTTTGAAAGTCTTTTCTCTTTCTGACATTGAAGAGGCCACAGATAGATTCTCAAATCAAAATATGACAGGAAAAGGTGGTTATGGTACTGTTTACAAGGTAAAATTTAACCAAACAAAAGGATTATATACATAGTCAAATATTTATGCTTCTTTGTAAGAATTTAGAGTCAGAAAACGTATATCTCTGGTGTGAAATGAAACTTCTCTTCTAACACAATCCCAAATTATAGTAATATTCAAAAATATTAAAGTGCATTTTTCCTTGTACTTTCTTTTAAGAAGTGTTGAACACCATGTATTAAAAAGTGAGGTATTGTTCTCTCTTTGAGATTTTTGCTCCTTTAGAAAATGGTTTAGAGGGAACAATACCTCACTTCTTAATACAGGATGCATATCGCTCCTCCAAGGAATTTACATGAAAATAAATGCACTTTGACCCTGTTCAAAATGCTTAAAATCCACCTCCCACATTTCACAATAAGGATTTTAGGTAGTTACTTAGTTTTGAACAGAAAAATGATAACTGCTCCCTCTTAAATTATTATAACTACCATGGTAATATAAAATATTTCTTTAACCCAATTTAGATCTCTGTTCACTTGGTCTGATTCATCAAGGTATGTATAATCCAACATTCTCAACGGAGTAGGACTATAGGAGTTCTATGATATATATTGGCATGCAATAGGATGGACCTTTATAATGCAACCTATTTCTCATATAGCTTCTCATTCAATCACACGGCATCCTCCACTGCTTCAAAATTGTGCAATGTTTCATAGCAAACAAAACATTAATGGATAAAATTATGATGATGGTATCAAAACAAAACGTAATTATAACATAAAATTACATTGCGAGAACAAAAAGAAATTTCAAAATAGAGTGATTATCTAGATAAGAGACAAAAAATTTTCAACCTTTTTATGTATACACGGATTTACCCGGCAATACACCTCAGTTTGACTAACTGTGTTATCTGCATGAGCTTTTTATTCACAAGATTGTTTCATTTGGCTAAAATTTGAACACTTCATTTTTCTCCAGGGTATACTTCAAATGGCCAAAAGATAGCAGGGAAAAAGCGATCACAAGGTTCTGCTCAAGGATTTGAGGAATTCAAAATTGAGGTAACAGTTACTGCAAGACTACAACATGTGAATCTTGTTCGATTGCTGGGTTTCTGCACTAATAGAGAAGAGAAAATGCTGGTTTATGAGTACATGCCAAACAAAAGCCTTGACTCCTGCCTCTTTGGTTAGAAATTCTTCACAACACTCTAAATCTGCATACACGCATAAACATATACATATACACATATATAAGTTAATATAAGCATCACAGCACACCAAACAGTGTTAAAAATTGAACTCTATTTTTAAATAAAGGCCTACAAAATGAGCTTCCTCTTAGAAGTAGTTGCTTTTGAGGGTATAGGATGGAACTAACGGTGTGTAATTTAATTTCAATATAGATACTGCAAGACGATATTTGCTTGGTTGGAGTAAGCGAGTTGACATCATTGAAGAAATTGTTCAAGGGCTTCTTTACTTACAAGAAAACTCAAGATTGACAATCATTTATAGAGATATAAAAGCTAGCAATATTTTGTTAAATAATGAGCTGAAGCCTAAAATTTCAGATTTTGGTATAGTAAGAATATTTTCGAAAGATGAACATGAAGCAAACACTGGCAAGATAGTGGGAACCTAGTGAGTATTTGGAACCTTGAAGCCATATATCAATTTTTAATTATGCCAACTCCATCATTTACCATGCTTTATATTTTGATGCAGTGGTTATGCTCCTCCTGAATATGTTAAAAATGGCATATACTCTACTAAGTTTGATGTGTATAGGTTTGGAGTTCTACTTCTCCAAATTATAAGCGGTATGAAGACAACAAAACTTTACGGTGGACATGGAAATTTATTCCTTGCAGAGTATGTAAGTAATTAATTGTTCAACTTTGTCAAAATAAAAAGTTTTCAAGTAATTTTAAGTGGATTATTTTTTGCCTGAATTTTCAAGTAATTTCAAGAAATTTTAAGGGTTGTTTTATTGATTTTTATTCACTTGGCTCCCCTAATAATATCTTGAAGTATTAATTTCCTCTTCTAGTTTATGATTAAGCTTATGTTAAATGACGTAAATATTTAATGTTTTTAGGCTTATGAACTATGGAAAGAAGGGAAAGGCTTGGAGTTTATGGATCCTTCCTTGGATGACTCATCTTCACCATGTAAATTGTTAAGGTGCATGCAGATTGCTTTGTTATGCGTAGTGCAAATGACAGGCCATGTATGTTGGAAATTTCTTCAATGTTGAGAAGTGAAAGCACTTTGAAATTCCCAAAAAAACCCGCATCATTGAGAGAAAATGAAGTAGAAGAAACAAATGAAAGAGTAATGCAGATTGAAATGGTTCAATCAATGAAATAACCCTGTCTGATATAGTTCCGCGATAGATTAAAAATAGATAGTTATACACTGGATTCTACGATTCATCGTTAATAGTATTACTAATTCCGTGATACTAGAAGTATGGTACGAACTTGTTGATTTTTAATTATGGGTACCCATGATACTTAATTAACATTTTTAATTTGGGGTCCAATGTACACGAGATTTATGTTCCATGGTGACGCTAAAACTTCAATATCAGACAACATATTTGCTTGACTTTTGAAATCTCTAGTTAATTTTGTCATTCTATAATGAAAATGAATTATAAATATAACCTTTCATGGAACGAGTCATCATGTGGAGCCAACAAGTTTACTGCCTGCAAGAAGACATGGCTTCTTTGATTATAGCATGCATGAATAAGATTTGGAGAACCCTAAGTACAATGGTTGATCCTACAGCCAACATTATTAATTTCAATCAATAGTTTGGTGAATGCTTATATGAAGCTTGCATACTACAAAAATGAGTTTTGGTGGCATTTAATTTTGTAGTTTCATGGTGTTTATAAAATGCTATAAAATTCAATGATATCTTAAATTTAGGTGACATTTTATTAATTAATGAAACACCACAAAAAGCTAGCAACAGTGGTGGTGTTTTTTCCAAAAAAAAAAAAGCCACCTCTTTATTTATTTTTTAAAAAATAAAAGAGAAGAGATGTGGCGTTTTTTGTAGGAAACACCACCGCTCTACTTACTTTTTTAAAAATAAAAGGAGATAAGTTTGCAAGAAACGCCACCTATCTTCTTTTACTTTTTTTAAAAAATAAAAAGCATCACTTTCTAATATAATATAATATAATATAATATAATATAATATAATATATATCTAATCAATTTTTATATATAATTTTTTTACTAAATATATAATTTTCAAAAATAAATAATCAATTTTATACTATACAAAGCTACAATAAATTTAGCAAGGTCAAAAAAAATCAAGGATAAATAAAAAAACATAAATTAAATATTAGCTAATAGCTATACTAAGGTTTATCAGTAATAAACAATAATTTTGAAGAAAAAATATGACTAATGTTTAACAGAG